TCAAATTTTACTTTATCAATTGAAAAAATTCCTGAAAAAATATGATTGATCTATGCACAAAAATTAATCTAATCTTAGAGGGGAAATTGTATAATACTAGATTTTACTAAGCAAATCTCTTTAATAATATTTGTTATCATTTTCAAGCTTATCATGACAATGTAATTACTAAGGTAATTTTATTATCAAGATAATCTTATTACTCCTAATTTAGAATCATTTTGTTTGGTTAGCGATAATTAATTTATAAGAATTAAACATTACTATATTTAGTATTACTAAAAATTAAATATTATTTTATTTAAAAAAAGAAAATAATGATACATATTATAATAATTACACAAGTTAATGATTTTAATGTTATTTAAAAATAATAATTTATAAAATATAATAATATTTATTTTTATAATAAAGTATGATTAAATTCTTAAATTAATGCAAATATTTATTCATTAGGTAAACCAATTTTTATAATATAAATTATGTAAAAAATATTTGAATTAAAAATAAAAATAATTTATTAAAATCATAGTAAATATATTATATTATTCATAAAATATTAAAAAAAAAATACACAAATTATTTTTAACTTATTACTAATATTAATTTGAAAATATAAACAATTATAATATAAAATGATTACAATTTTAAGAAAAAATAAGTTTTTAATTCATATATTAAATAAATAATATTGAATATTATTAATTTCATATATCATTTTATCTCGACGATAAAAGTTTATCATTTTGTTAGATAAGAATTAGATTATTTTTTAAAACAATAATCTAATTACTCTCATTATCTAAAATCATTGTCACATAAAATTACTAAATGTTTATCAAATATAATACTCTAATCACCATATATAAACAAATTATTATAATTTTTAAAGTAATAATCTCATACTGAACATTACCTTTTTATTATATAATGGAGTGAAAAGGATGAAATCGTCTATCGAACGCCTACAAGTGACATTTTGATTGCAGCTGATTGTATTGCTAGAGCCCAGAGGGAGATCTGGGTGTTCTTTGGATTGCCCTCATCTTCTTCCTTGGTTCATATTCTTAGCAATGGTCTGTCTGCTCTTTTTTCTCATTTTCTGTTTGCTGTCCTAAAGCTTTTTGAGGACAAAACTAAAATATTATAGCAACCATATAGGTAATGGCGAGCTTCGATCAACGGATGCGTACGCTATTACTGAGAAACAACAAAGGCCCAAGTCTAATACAAAGTTCATGACCAAGCCCAAAGAAAACTAATGGAATCAGTCATGATTATAAAGCTCTACTATATCCATTATATTTTCTTTGTTCTATTTGATTTTGATTTCTAAGGTCCCACCTCCCAATAAATTCTACTCTTTATATATTAAAAACAGTTTTCTGGCTAATTCCTTTTATTATTTTCTGAAACAAAATATCACAAAAGATGAATCTGTCCGAACGAGAAGCAGACTATTAAAACATGTCCAACAATGCAAAGCGATGTTAGTGCATGAACATTTTTAAGTTGTCGTATAGTAATGATCTTTGTGGAGCACATTCTGGTTAAGATCCTTTCATGAAGAAAAGCTAGGAGTAAGGAGGGACCATTTCTCACTCAATTTGGCTTCTAAAGTCAAGCATATGAAAGCTGTGAGGAAGCATCAGTAGCTCTCAATTGCACTTCTGACTTTACTCCCAACAGGGCCTTTGTGAATAAGGTTCAAGCTACAAGAGGCCCCATGCAACCAAATGTTGTTTCCAGTCAGGAGAGACACATCATGGAATTCCTCACACTGTGGACCTAAGTTGTCCTGGTCCTTAGGCCCAGCCCAAATTATTAAGCTCAATTATCATTTTTTTTTTTCATGAAATAGCAAAACCGTTAAAAAAACAAAAGACAGAATTAAAACTCATGTTCACATGTCTTTTTTTTAAAGTCACTTAACCACTAGACGAAGAGATAAAAGGCAGCTGAAATATCATATTTCAGCAATGATCTGATCGAAAGTATATAAATGTTTTAAGGGTATTAAGATTGTCAAAAACCCATTTTCATTTTAGTACCATAATTGAGAAAAGTTTAGTCTATTTTTACCGCATTATTGGACTTGGTACTTTTTAAAGTTGTCACTCCATAATTGTTAGGTGCTTGACCAGTACTTAATTAGTAATTAACCTAGTCTCTTTTGTGAAATTTAACTAGGATTATTAGGCAATTAATGAATATACCCAATCATGGTTTAGGGCCTTTTCCACCTTTTTAAGCTCTCTAAACGTTGTACTTTTGAAGGTATCCAAAGAGGATGGAGGCCACACCCTTACTTGATTCTTGGTTCGAATTGTCCCTCATTGATGCAAAAGAGTGAATGGGATTGATAATTTTTGCATTGCAAATTGCCTGCCTGATACCTGTATGGATTGCAATAGTTACATAATTGGAAAATGTTGAAAATAATAAACATTTTCATTGAATGAAAATGAAAATAATTGTGACCGTATCTTCTCCTTCCCCATGTGAGAAAGGCTCCACCACGTTACCTCAAAAGCGGACCCGGGAAATGGTAGACAGTCAATGAGCCGTTGTACCTAAAATGCCCCAAGTTGATTGCTGAAATAATTCTCCACCTAGGTGTGCTTCGATTTGGCCTTGTTTGGTTGAGACTCTTTGCTTTTGAATCAGCCCTTCTCCAACTCAGATCACTCGTATTACCAAAAACTTGGATCAAAGAGAAGAAAATGCTGTTTTACTACTAAAAAAAAAATGGCTGTTAAGAGAGGTGGGTGTAATTAATGTCTCCATTGATGGAACCCTATGAGAAAGATTGGAGACCATGCAATGTTAAACAAACATTGACAAGAAGTCTTTGAAAATTTAATGGTGCAACAATGACGGTTAGTAAATAGCTTAATATAGTAGCTTAATATATTCATTTCCATAGTCTTTAAATGATGGATCTATTGTAAATAAAGTTGTGATACAAAATAATTTAAGTAAACAATTTAAGATAATTTTGAATATAGGGGTGTGGTTGGGGGTGAACCAATGATTTGGGATTTGATTTTGTTTGGCATAAATAATGATGGGGTGTAAAGAAACATTCCACAAGCAAACAAAAGAAAAAAGAAAAGAAAAATTCTAAAAGGGGCAAATGCAAAGCATATAAGATAAGAATTATGCACTTTTACAGCTTGGTTTAGAAAAAGATTAAAAAAAAAAAGAATACCTTACCAAAGATTGATTGTTGAGAAATTTTATAATTAAGGTTTCTTTTTGTTTTTGCAGTTATATATGGTGAAGTTAAGCATCAACGATGAAAAATGATAAGACTTGATTAACCATTCAGCAGCTAAGTAAAAAAGAGCATTATTTCTTGGTGGTCTCCCACTTTGACAGATATATCTTCTTCATATGGCTGTGGCATCCCACTTGCCGCAGCCAAACATGGCATATGCGATCCTCAATATGATGCAGGACAGCGTGTGCTCATACGTGTCGTCCTGGCTTATCTGCCACCTGCCAATGGAGACAAAGAGCTTTCTTTTGTTGGAGTCAACAGCCTCCGTTGCTTGTTGGAAGACACCGTTTTTAGTTTATTCCTCGTCTGAAACATGAATACCGAATACTCCCGCCATACCCACCCAACACCTTATCTACTTATCTTTGATTCTTTTCCCATTTTTAACCTTTCTATTTTTTTTTTAGGGGATAGGGATGATTCGGCACATTATCTTTGTGGGTTAAAACAATAAGTGAACTTTTTTTTTTTTTTTTTTGTAAATTTTGATGGAAATAATTGAATGAAAAATAGTTTAATAAATATTTATTTTATTGTATCGATTTTCCTTTTCACTGAGCCCAAGTCCGAGTTTTTTTATTCATAAAGTCGCTGTTAAACATTAAATGTATTAAGAAATTATGGCTAAAGATGTATAGGCTAGGATGTTAGATCACATGGCTCCATAATTGGGGCTATTCTCTTGATCTCATACTAACTTCTTTGGATATGGTTCAATTACGAATTGAATATATATATATATATATATATGAATTGAGCAAAGAGCTCTAAATGTGGTGATGCGGATGTTTATAGGTTGAGAAAAAATCCCAACACCGCCATTTATTGATGTGTACATTTTCAATGAAATTGTAATTTACATAGTTTTTAAATTATGTTAGTTTGATTTGTCGGTAGACAGCTGAAAATAATATAACAATTAAGATTTTACTTAGTTAATATTTTATTATTTATTGTTTTATTTTTATATCATTTGTAATGCAAAATGAAATTCATTGAAAGGAGAGCATCTGATCTAATTATATTATTTCATATAAAATTAATTTAATATTTACCTTCTATGTACCTCACAAGTAATCAAATTACCGAAATTAATTAAAAGTATCATGAAAACTAACATTTTTATTTTCTATAAATTTTATATTGGTGAAGTTTGGACGTTGATGCCTTGTATCAACAAACGAATTATGATGAGAGATAAATTTAAGTTCTATTTAAATGGTTGATGCGATGAACTTTTAATCATGTTATTACGAGACTAATTTTTTAAAATTTTAATTTTAAAATAAAATGATAAAAATCGAGCCATTTAAATAAAGTATTAAGAAGAAACATGGAAAGCAACCTTTCAATGCCAAAATGTCAAATGAGTAATCAAATCACAAAATCAGAAAAAAAAAAAAAAAAACATAAGTTCCGTCAAATCTTAATCATTTTCACTACCAAAATTAACAATAAGATTAACAAACTAATTCTATGATTTAAGGATTATGTAATAAAAATTTCACCATTATACTTTGACAAAACTGGCATGTGGAAAAAGTGTTTTATTTTGGTCAAGTCAAGTAATTGGAGCGACGGGATTAGCACGAAATTTACTGCGTAAATGAACCGTAACTACTCGAGAGTCTCGTGACAAACGCCTGGATAAGATATTTATTCTTTAATATTTATAATTTATTCACAACAACAAAAAAAAAAACAATGTAGAAATTATTTTACTAAACAAAAATAAAGTGTGGAGATCTGACAGCTTTTTTATTGGTTTCTCTCAACGAACAGAGCAGACAGTGAGAGAGAAATGCAACGCAACGGAACTAATGATAAGGGGCGGATTCCAACATAAAGAAGTAACTAGATTTAAGGATTGGGTTTGAGGTCCGTGTTTCTTTTTTCTTTGTTGCAATTTCCAACACCAAACCACACATCACATATTAGACTGTCTTGTCTTTCACAGTTGCTGGAGTTGAGAGTGAGCGAGGGAAGAAAGAAAAAAGCAAAGTCAGAAAAAACAGATTAAGCAAAAAAAAAAAAACGAACATGGGAAGATCCACTTCATGTTTCAAAATCATTACTTGCGGCAGCGATTCTGCTGACAAAGACGACGCTTTTGATGTTCCTGAGGCATGTCCTTTTTCTGTTTTTACTTGCATTTGATGTGTTAGTTACTTTATTCAAAGTTTCCGTTTAAAACAGCCAGTTCTGTGCATTTTGTTTTTGTTCATCTTGTTTGATTTGTGGATTTGCTTGAAGAATCGGAGTTTCGAAATTTGACATACTCCACTACTTCAAGATCTAAGAAATCTTGGCTTTACATTTATATCTTCAATTTGTAAATGCAGTTGTTTTTAAGTTACAGGTTTCAAATCTAGCAAGGTTTAAATTTTGTTATCCATTAACTGGATTTTTCAGATATGCAAGATCGTAAGGTGTTATGATGATAGATTTATCTACTTTCTTTATCTGATTGATTTAATTATTACTGATGCCATTGGAAATTGGAAATGGCTGACAAATTTCAATTTCGGAAACTTATAGTGTAAAATTGTGTTTACAGAGGATATTTGAGGTTATTCCTGTTTTGTATTTTCATTTGTTTGGTAGATATAGTTGTCCATCTTTTATGTCTTAGACAGATGACAGTTCTTTTGTACTAATATGCCCTTGTTGGAACTCAATAGGCAATAGCCCGTAACCAATTTCAATTGAATATGGTATTTACAAGCTGAATAAAGCAATACGTTCAGGGCTAGAATTTAAAGTCGAGCATTTTAATTCATCTAAAATAGGGCAATTATTCTTTTTATATCTCTCTTTATTTCTCTGCCTTTTGAACTGAGTTATGCTGTTTAAATTTCACTTCAGAGCAAGAGATCAAGTGATAAAAAAGGATGGAGTTTCCGAAAGAGATCTGAACGGCATCGGGTGCTTAGCAACACTGTGATACAAGAAGCTACTTCTGGGCTTAAGGAAAGTCCAGATTCTGCTGGTTTTAATTTTCAACAGCCAGATGTTTCCGTTGCTCCTGAGAAAGCCTCTACCATCCAATACACTGAACAGAAATCTCAGTTGCTGACACAGAAAGAGTACATTGAAGAAAAATCTAAGTTGGTGGCACCAAAAGAGCATGCTGAAGAAAAATCTGTGTCGCTGACGCCAATAGAATGCGCTGAAGAAAAATCTCAGCCGCCAACACCAAAAGAATACACTGAAGAAAAATCTCATTTGTCAACTCCAGAGGACTCAAAAGTGCCTGAACCTGTTGCTGCCACTACAATGGAGGCTGAAGATGACATCAACCTGGATGAATCCGTTGTTGTTATCATCCAGACTGCTATAAGAGGCTTCTTGGTACAATTTCTTTCTCAATGTGAATTTATAATGTACCAATTGATAACTTTTCTTACTTTTTATTTTATGGTCTCATTTGCAGGCACAGAAGGAGCTAGGAAAGCTAAAGAATTTAGTAAAGTTGCAGGCTGCTGTACGTGGGCACTTAGTTCGAAGGCATGCTGTGGGGACCTTAAGATGCGTTCAAGCCATTGTCAAAATGCAAGTTCTTGTTCGTGCACGTCTTGCTCGTCCATCTCAAGAAGGGTCTTATACCCAAAAGAAGCTGGATGGCAAGCACCATAAATACAATCAAAGTTTGGTAATTTTTTCAGCTCACATCAATAATTAGGAGTCACAAGACTGTTTTCCTTGTATGTCCTGGTTCATATTTCATTAATAGGTGGCATGCTAGCTTCCACTTTCAAGAAACCCTTCTTTATTATTACAACTTACCTTGAATTCTTTGAATCTGTCACTATGTTTTCTTTATTGATCCATGTCCTGTGTCTTTGGTGGCATTAGCATTTAGGCTTAATTCGTTTACTTTATACAGCTTCTTTCTAGTTCAAAAAGGGTGTAGGGTAGTGCTGCTTAGATGGCTGCTAATAATTAAGAGAACATTCTTTGAGCATGTTTTGTTTGCAAGCATGAAGGTTGAAAGTAATCCTTAAAAGACCTATGGTAATACTGCTACCCACCTGGCAAAAATCTAATTTTAAACAAGGGCTTGTTGAGAGTGAGTTCTGTCTGTAATTTGCATGATCTTACCATTCAGTTACCGTTTCAGAAAGAGATGCAATTATCATATAGGATTTTGTTTACTTTCTGACCAGCTTTGCAAGACATTCGGAAATTATGGGCTAATGGTCCTACAGCCCATGATATTTTCAGCAATATCACATAGAATGATAGAAATATATAATGCACAATATCACCCAATCCTTTTGATTAGCAGGGCTATTGTGGTCCTAATGGAGAAAGTTTTGCACAATGTGATACTTTCAATAATTACTATCCTTAGATAATTTTACCCATTATTCTTTCTTTTATTCCTGAAGCAGGGAAGCTCAGCAACAAAACAAAACACAACTTACACTTCCATAGAGAAGTTGCTTAGCAATAGGTTTGCACGTCAGGTATGTTAAGTTGACATTCTCTAGCATCATGTATCTTAACTATTTTCTGGAAGCTGTCTCTCAAACTATGTCTACCCAAAAATACTCAGAATTTGCTTTGATTGCAGCTGATGGATTCAAAACCCAAGACCCAACCTATACTCATCAAGTGTGATCCATCAAAACCAAATTCTGCTTGGAGCTGGTTGGAGAGGTGGATGTTTGTGTCAACAACTGAAAAGGCATCAACAGCAGAGTTACCTTGTGAACAACCAGAAAGAGAGAAAAGTGACAATTGTGACTCCTCTCTTGATGCTACAGCTCCTTCTGAAGCTAGTTCTGAGTCAAATGAACCAAAGTCTGATATAAGGGAGATATTGGTTTCATCAGAGAGTGAAGAGAATCTGATCACCTATGACGCGGCGAACTTTAAGTTTGAGGCATGCCAACCAACTTCTTCTGTAACAGATGATTTGGAGCAAACCCGGATCGACAACGTGAGTACATCTGACCTGAAACAGATCCCACATGAGATAAACTCTCAAGATCAAACAATGCAAACAGATGCTCATTCTCAAACGGAGGTCAGTTGTCTTTCTCACAAGCCTGAAATAGAGAGTGAACAACCCAAACGTTCTACAAAAAGATTTACTTCTGACCAACTGGAAGCCGAGGCAAAGAAATTTGTAATTGGATCAAGAAAGGCAAGTAATCCTGCATTTATTGCTGCACAATCAAAATTTGAGGAGTTGAGTTCAACAGCCATTTCAAGAGGATCAATAGATTCATCCCACCAAAATGTTGCAGTTGAATCGAACATGGATAATGTGTCATGTGCGTCAGATATGATAAGCCGGTCAATGGAGCCAAGCATCATAGAAAATCCACTCAATAATTGGAGGGTTCAATATGGTGGCTCTGAATGTGGCACTGAACTTTCTGTTACTTCCACACTAGATTCACCTGATATATCTGAAGTTGGAACCTTAGAATATGAAAATGGAGCCAAAGTTTCCGAGCTAGAAAATTGCAGCCCTAATGGTACTAAGGATTTGGATGTTAAAGAAAATGACAGAATTGCAACCCCAGTGCCTGATTCTTCTTTATCTGTTGCTGATCAGCCTGAGAAATTTGATGATGCTAAAGGTGAATCAGCGAATTTAATTGTTGTAAACTCCCCCCAAGTAGAGCAGGAGCAGCCGAAAAGCCCATCTGATCTGCAGAGAGAACGCTACACTGAGACAGGCAATCAGGCAAACAGGTCATCCCCAGAAGCCTCTCCTAGGAGCCATATGACTGTTCCAGAATCCCAAGGAACCCCTTCCAGTCAGGTATCGGTGAAGGCTAAAACGGAAAAAAACAAGAGCGGTCAAAAGCGCAAGTCCTTGTCTGCTGCTAAGGGTTCTCCATCAACTCCAGCTCATGATAGTGGTGCGAGAAGTAGTATGGAACAATTGCCCAAAGATCAGAAAAATGGGAAGAGACGCAACTCCTTTGGTTCAACAAGACCTGAGAACATTGATGAGGAGCCAAGAGATAGTAACAGTAGCAATTCTCTTCCCCATTTCATGCAAGCCACGGAATCTGCAAGAGCTAAGGTTAATAATAATAACTCACCAAGATCAAGTCCAGATGTGCAAGACAGAGACATTTATATCAAGAAGAGACATTCCTTACCTGGTGCTAATGGGAGGCAGGGTTCTCCAAGAATCCAGCGATCAATTACTCAACCACAGCAGGGTGCAAAAGGAAATGGTACCAATCCTCTTAGTGGTATGTTCTAAACCTTATTATTTTATTATAATCTTAAATGTTAACCTTGCTAATGTCTGGTCAGTATCGATTTTTGCCAGCTTAAAAGCACATTACATTCCTGACATTCATCAATTTTTTTTTAAAGGATATTGTACTTTTTATACTAGAAGTTGAGCTTCTCAGTAGTTGATCTTTATAAATATTCAAGCAAACCGGATGACCTCTATTTGCTAGCAATGCTTTTTGTTGAACTTTTTAAGACATGAAGGTCTTTACTTGTTACCCCTTGTTGGTACACTTGTCTTCATCAAGTAATCCTTGTAGTTAGTGAAACTTATTCATATTGCTTATTTAGCAACCTTTATACCTGCATGACATGCTGCCTTACGGCATTTTTTGTGGGTTAGAAAGGATTGGGTGCCTTTAGGTTTCTGTTCTGGTTGTTTGTTGATAGGAAATAGAGGTTTTTGCATTAATGCCATGGTGCTTGACTGCTTGAATCCTATTTGTTTCAGAGAGAAGATGGCTACGGTGAAGGGTTACTCGGAACAACCATACGCCACGGTACCATGGTATTCAACCTCTCAGATTGGAAGTGGAGCTGATTGTTGGTCTTGCTATATAGTTTTATGTCTCAACATTTCATCGCTTCAGTTGATTCATGCATTGTCATCTGAAGTTTGGCAAGGGAGGAGATATATATAGAATGGAGTAAAAATTTTCTTGTATATTACTAGTACCAAAACCATTAATATTATTATTGTTATTATTATATTTTTTTCTGAACTTTCTTCTTGGGAGATACGCTCGTGTATTTTTGTTCATCTGTCTTTGGTGTGATATTATTCATGTTTGCCACTGCATGTTTTAGGATGTCTGTTCGGGGTTTGAGAAACAACGACAGCAAAAGTGGGAGCTTTAGAAAGACCTTTGATCACACTTTTCGTGTAATAACTCAGGCCAATCTCTGTTGTTTCATTGGCCACAACTACCATGGCTAATTTTTATTTTTTCGGTTTCAGTTCCATTGATTAATTTTATAAATACGTTTCACTATTAATTTTTTTTATTTCTAGAATTTCTCATTGTTGCTCGGCTACAAACAAAAGTTTATGTTTTGGTAACCGGAAAACCATGTAATCATCATTTATGCATGGAAAAATCAACCTTTTGGTTATAAAATCAGGCAAATCTCCATTAGTTCAAGCATTGAACTCACAAAAGCGCGTGAAACTCAGCATTGATTGTTCCAGAAGATTATCTTTCCACTTTTGTCCATGCTTCTTTTGGACCCAAATGTGAAGTGAGGTCCTCGAATTTCGTGAAATTTTAGTGTTTTGGACCAAGAGGCCCAAAATAAGAAAACAATGGACCTTAGGCATCGGCCCTTAAAGCCCAATCAAAATAAATCAGAAGCCACGTGGAAGAATTTTGCTGACATATATGGTGAGCGTAGAGTTATTGCGTGTTGACCGTCCCAAAACTGCGACTTTTTTCATTAACTTACTGTCCTTTCATCGTTTAACTCAAAAATAAAAAACGCCAAAACAAAAAGAAAACAGAGAAAAAGGAAAGAAATAAAAACTGCGGTAGAATCTCAACCCTTACATTTACAGCGCGTGTATGCAACGTCATAATCTCAATCATTCAAAAGATTGCGTGCGCAAGCGCTCACTCAACAGGTTCCCATTAGTACAGAACAAAAGCCTAAAAAGAAAAGAAAAAAGAAAAAGATATTTAAAATAGAAATAAGGAAAACAAAATCAGATAGAAAAACTGCAAGGCAAAAAAACCAGAGGATCTAGGGTTCCCTCGGATCTCTCTGTTTCGAAAAGATTAGGTAATTATATATAGATTTATAGGTGTTTTTAATGGATTAGTTACTTGTTTATTTTCTAATTAGGGTTTTCGAAATCGGTAAGTTGATTTAACGGCCGAGACTTTTGTTTTTTGGGACAGTAGTGTTGGAGTTAGGGTTTTAATCGATCGAACCCTAAAATCGGTGATTTTGGGAAACAGACTTTAACAAATTTACGGAGAATCGAAGCTGGAAAAAGGAGGATTTTGGAGAGATTTATTTTAATATACTATAGTATTTTTGCGATCTGTAAAAATGCGAGGAGTGCACAAATCGAAAAGGGTTACTTGGGCACCGGATGTTAACCTTTGTCAGGTAAAAATTGCAATTTTACGTTCCAAATTTCTAAATTTTGAGCTACGTTTCAAGTGAAATAGAGAAATGAAAAAAAAAAAAAAATAGAAAAAGGAAAATGGCGGAGATATTAAGTTAAATGGACCAAAAATTTTGGGAAATGAAGCTATGTTACCCTTCTTGTTATGCTGTTTTTGGGGGTTTTTTTATAGTCTCTTTATCGGTTACTCTGTGTCTTGAATTGCGTTTGAACCTTTCTGGTGGTTAATTTAGTTTCATTTTTAGTATTCTTGTGAATCATGATTCAGAATATTTATCATTTTGGTGATGGCGTTGTTATATAAAACTTTTTAGGGTATGAAATGATTTTTTTTTCTTTTTTCTTTTTCAGTAGTATTTATGGCTAATTTAGTTTTTGGAAATGTTTTTATAAGAATATATCAGTCAATAGAGTTTGGAAGTTTGTCATGCTAGTTAGCCACAGAATATGAGAGAATGAGAATGTTAAAATACTTTGGCTTTTAGATTATTGAAATATGCCTATGAAGATAAGAATATGCCTCTGATTAGCATCCCTGGCTTGTCAATTCATGATGCTTTATTTCATATCAATGCATTGCTTTCATATAATGTTCATCTATGCAGAACTCAATAACACATAACGAGAGTACCACAGTAAAATCTTCATGGAGTTTGATTAGAGTATGCACAATAAGTTAATGAATGCTTGTTATATTGTATTAGTTATGAAGTTTCAACTTTATATTGTCATTTGTAGTTATCACTTATCAGAAAAAATTGGAATTTGTGGTTTGTGTCCTTTTTCAATTTTACCCATACCCTTTGCATGTAGAATACTGTCTTTCCAAGGTCCTTAAGTATTTTGCTTTTGTCCTCAGTCCTAATCGAATTGAAAGAATCTTCATTTTCCTTTGGAGAAGTTCCAATTTTAGTATCTCTAATTCATAGATGTATGAGGTTCTTTACAAATTGAAAGTGCATGCATCTATATAGCCACCACAGGTTGATAAAGCGTGTTTTTCTTGTCTCATCCTAAGACCTTCTATTGAAAATCTGAACTGATTTGAAATGAACTTTTGCTCTAGTTTGATGTGAGATTTCAGAAAATGTCCTTTGCAAATGGTCTTTTTGACTAAAAAGGAGCAATCCAGTAAGTTGCTGTTGAGCTAGTAAGAAAGAAGGTCCAACTTTGCTCTCTAACGAGTCAAGTAGTGAGAGTGAAAAAATCAGTTTTTCCTCGATAGATAGGCTGAGTTCACCTCACAACATGACAAATATCTGATCTACTGTCTTATCTCAGCCTTACAGCAGAAATACCCATTAATATGTTGGTTGGTAACATATACCTAATTCTAAAAGACTTGGTTAGATGCTCTTGCATAGTATCTAGTTCATGACAACTGGTTGTTGCGGCCATCTTAAGTCATATATCTGACCATCAATGAGCAAAACTTCTTCCATGCCTCATTTTACATAGTTTATAGTTTGCTTATACAGATGGTCCCTATTATAGTTTGCTTATACAGATGGTCCCTATTATCTATTTCCAACCATATGGTATTTTGCTGGGGACTAAACTTAGTTGAGTAGCTAATGCTAGATTTTATGGTGGCCCCATCAGTAACGTATTAGGCAAAGTTTACCAGGCTAGGCATCTGAAGTTTGCCTCGAGATTTTCCTAGTCTCAGTTGATTCTTAGTGAGAGATCAAAGATTTTTGATAACACAGAGAGAAATGACAGATTAGTTGGCACATAGAAGCATCATAGAATGCAGTAGTTTAGTTTGTCTGTACTTCCATTTTGTTGTTAATAAAAAGTTTAAATATGTATATATATTTATATAGTGTGAGAAAGTTTTTGAAAAAAAATCCCTGTTTATGCAAACTCTCTTTAGTTCAGTTGCTAGAGGGTGTTTTGCAATAAAATGATGATTGAGCATTTTACAACCCTATTTCATTGAAGATCATAAACAGAAAATATAAATGCTTCTCCTTTTAACAGATAAGGCTGTTTCTATCAGAGGAATCACCTTCACAAGTTGGGTTGGGTGCTCAAGATCATCTCCAAGCAAAAACCTCTTCAGTACCTCATTTAAATGGGGCAGCTGTGGATGACTTTCTGCCTCCTGGCTTTGAAGGAGCTCATTCTACAAATCATCTGCAATTTAACTTGTCGGAAATCCCCGTGATTAAATGGAGATGTCCTCTCAAAGTAAGTAACAGTCTGAAGATTTCTTTTGTCGCCATTTTCATATGAGTTTGATTTATAAGTATTGCTCTCAGCATTTCCGTGAAAGCTGAATTTGCATTGTCACAGTTTGTATTGGACTTGAATTGGCAAGTAGTTGCCGGAGAGGAAAGTAAAGAGGTGGAGATTCAAAATCAGAGAGAAGTGAGAGTGCTTGAAGCTGTTTATCCCCGCCCATCTGCAATTCCTGAAAAGTATAATGCTTTTCTTTTTCCATTTTTGAGGGGAGGGTTGAGGGTTTCTAAAAACTGCTTTTCTTGGCTTTTACTTTCGCATGAGCCTAAATTTTCTTCTCCTTGTGCAGCCCTACGGTTTCAGCAGACATAGCAAACTGTCACTATGATGATCAACAAACTCCCCCAATACCCATAACTCCTATTGAAGATGAGGATGCAGCAAGTGAAACACCATCTGACGTCTTAGCACCATTCATTGCCCCCATTAGTTCACAGCACCAGTTGTTTTCTCCTGTTATTTTACCGCCTCAGCATTGCAGTATGCCAAGTGTTTCAAGTGCTTCAGTCAATGAGAAACCAGCAGCTGGAATGGTCCTTAATGTTGAACCCGGTGTAGCAGCTGCTGCATCTGCTGCCCTTACAGCAATTAATCAAAGCAATGAACATGGAAACATGATTGATCCTGACTTACTCGTCAAAATTCTCAGCAACCCGAAATTGATTGAGAAATTAGTTACAGATTATGGAGCGGCTTCAGGTGCACAAAACTTACCTAAATCGACATCCCCCTTGGTACGTTCTTCTGACTCACCTCCACCTGTAAATCTATCCGAACCATCTCTTGCCCACATCAACAGAACAGAAAATGGCACGCCATCCCTAGCAGCTACTTCTAGTGGAGCGTTTTATGCTCAGCCAAATGGGATTGGAGTTGGACCCCCAAATAAACAGGGTCCTGTTACCATTATCCGTCCAGTTTCGTCCTCACCTGCTGTCGGGCCTCCTCAGAAGAAAGATGTAAACTATTACAAGAGCTTGATTCAGCAGCATGGAGGAGAAAGACAAGGACCAGCTCAGAAGTTCAATAGCCGATACAATCAACAGTTAAGACCAAACCAAGAACTAATAAATAACCCCAAATCAAGAGATTCGAAGCCAAGGATAATGAAGCCTTGTATGTACTTTAACAGTTCCAGGGGATGCAGGAATGGAGCCAATTGTGCGTACCAACATGATACACCCTCCCAGAACAGGGGCAATAACGTTTCGGACTCACCGAATCCAAAGAGAATGAAAATGGATAGAGAAATAAGCAGTTAGAGAGCACGTAAGCCTTTTCACACGGAAAAAGCCTACTGTAGCTCTACCTTTTATTTCTACACTGGCTTGGGTTTTATTTTTTTGGCAAATAGCCAAATAGTGTAATTCTTGTACTCATTCTCATGCAGCTAGATTTAAGATTTAAGTTGTGGGCGAGAGAGCCTTGATAATCACAATCAATTGCGGATTTAAGAGAGCATTTTTTGTTTCCATTTTCCTTCTTCCTTTATCCAATAACCATATTACAATGACTACTTGAAAGTTTATATGTCGTGGTGGTATTTAATATGCATTTAAGCTTGGAAAGAAGGAACAATTAAGGCCAAGTCGATTAATTTATTGATAAATAATAAAGTTTTAGTCGTAATCTATTGGCAGCATAATGAAATTTTAATTTATAAAGCCTGACTTTGTTTCTCCGCTATACGAAAGAAGGCCGACCTCAAAAGCCCAAATTTATGTATGTTAGGTAATTGACACAGATTGCCTAATCATTTTCTTTATAACTGAATTAGTACTTTAAACTTTTTAAAAAAAGAGCCTTCAACGTTTCGACCAATCCTCTAAAGAGTGAACAAACAATCCAACTCCGATTCTGTAATTGCGAAGACAAGGAAGGAGATGTTGAAGTTTCTATCGAAAGTACGGATCGAGTTCAATGCTTTGGACCCACGCATAGCTTCATGCATGGAGTTCTTAGCCCAGTGCAACGCTCGCAAAGCCAAAGAATCGAATCCCGCTTGCCAGCTTCAGGTCAAGCGCCGCACCGACGATCACCCGCCCCAAATTACCGTTACTTTTGTCAACGGAGTGGAAGAAGTTTTCGATGCCACATCGACTCCTGCACAGACCATAAGGAACATGATCCTCGAAAAAGGTCAGCTCCTTGAGACCGAGCAAATGTTCCGTGAAGCTGGCGAGAAGTGGCCCGTTATTATACCCGAGGAGGAGCTTCACCAATCGTTTCCTGGAACCAAGGTTTGAGCATTTCTTAATTTTATGATTTCTGGGTCGGTTTCCAATTGTTGATTCTTTATGTTTTGCTGTAGAGGCATTTTGTCGAATAATTGGTGTGTTTGTGTGGGTTATCAAATTCTCATAAAATGTGGTCTGGGTTTGATCATTATTTGCTGTATTAGCATCCTGCTTACTCAAAATGATTGGCTAAGGGATATCAACCGGATGATGAATAGTTATTCTTAGTATTTGTCTTTTCAAATTTTAATTTATAGTACCTTCTGCTCCTGTTAATGAGTATTGATGGTATCCAAGAAAGAGGTACCATCTATTGTTGTAACCTCAACCTATTAAGAAAGGGATTTGGAAAGGGCCGCAGCTGCATCGACGACGGTACTGAGACTTGGAAGGCCTGCTCCTTCCAGCAAGGGAAGGGGGGGCAGACGTTCAAGAAGTAGTGAAATCAGATCTCACCTACCTTATCCGGTCTGATGTCTTTGAGAGCATTGAGGAAAAAGCACAACACGCCAATGAAAAGAGAAACTAGCTCATCTATACGATTAATACTAACTACATTTTTCTTCTTATATGCTTTATTCCGGCAAATTAAAGTGAGAAAAATTCTGTTTCAAGATTCCTAAAATGATTCCTACAATGCTATTGTTTTGTTTTGTAGCATGTCCAAATATATACTACTACCATTGTCTATATACTCATTGTCATGTTTTTTTTTTTTTTTTTCCTTTTTCTTCAGCCAAGGAAAGCAGAAGAGAAGAAGCAATGACTCCAATCTGTCTGACTTCAGCCATTTTACCGAGTGTCACTTTGGAACTTTGGAAGATCATCAAATCTTCCATTGTATGTTGGGAAAGTACCTTACATGAATATTTTGAAGCCTGATTTATGCCGCTAGAGTGTATCATTTTCTTATTCTTCCTAATGTTGGGTGTATCCAGTTACTTCAATTGAACTCTCTCTCTATGAGTTACTTGTTAGACTCTAATTTGAGTACTTTGATTTCATCTATTTCTTGTCATGGGAAACCCTTTTTGCTGGATCTCGCTGGAGTGATCTACAAATAATAGCAGAGTTTGCTTTGGTAGGACATTTTCTGCTAATGAAATGAATAAACAGTGTAGGCTCTATGCACACTATTGCATAGCAAAATGGAATAAACAGGCAGCAAAGCAGTAAAAACTATATTTCTCAAATTTTTATGCAGCCAATGTACGTCAGAAAAAGAAATTGTTTTCTGAATTTACAAATCTCTTCCAAATGGTTACAAATACGCTACACAGAGTAATGGCAGGAGAATATTATTAAAACAAGAATAGGATAATGATGGTTTCTCTTTGTGTTCAATTGCTCAGCGATCTTCTCGCTGAACTCTGTTGGGATCAGCCATCATATCCATCATCATCTTCTCAGGTGAATCATCCCAATTTGCAAATGTTTTTAAGTCAACCTGCACAGAGACAGACTCCGTCTTAAGCCTCAACAGTTCTCATGCATTATGCGACATCAATTTTACAAAAGCAAAGGGTTTGTAAATGCCTTAATCTTAAATGTTATGTTACCTTGCGTCTTTGCTCAGTGAAAAGTTCTTCTCTTTTCTTGTATGAATTCTGGACTTCCTTTGCAGTTCTACCACCAAGTCCCCAAACTTCCACTTCTGTTATTGAAGCTTCGACAGCGAGGAATCCCTGCAAGAAACCATTCCATATTTTAGTAGTCAGCCTTTTAGGGCACTTGAGGCAGCAAGTAAAAGGGTTTTTAGTATTACCATGTTGAAAAATATAGCAGTTTAAAACAGTTACAATCCTCATGAGGCTTAGGGTTCAAAGAGACAAGAAACCACCAGTGGTATGAAATAAATACCGTAGCATTAACTAAAGCTTTAGGGAATTTTGCATTATTATGAGATTATCAACCTTGCCATCATAAATTCACTGTACCTGAATTGGGATAAGGGAGCCAGGTTGGTAAGTTTTATCCATTGCATGATGGCGAACTGTAACCTTAGCAAAATCTTCATCGATAAATATCCTCTCATTTGTAATATTTCCTCCAAATGCAATTCCCACAGGCTTTGGATGTGATTCATAAACTTTGCCAGTTGGGTGCAAATGGCTGTACACAAAATTCTTCTCTTTCCCTGTTAATGATTTTTTTTAGTAATTAGTTTCACTATGTCATCAACCACAAAAATACCTGAGCGATATTTGACTTTGGCTAGGTAAGGGAGGATCTCCTCAGTGCGCCCCCCTCCCCATGCCCCTATCCGACCCTCCAGGAGGAGTAAAAGAAAAAGGAAAAGAACAAATATTGCCACATATCCTCTTGTTTGACTACATACCTGAAGGTGAAAATACATGGAAGATTGGACTTATAGCATATAGGTTCCCCGAGCTTCCATAGAATTTATCCCTATTCTCAAAACCCTGCTGGGTAAGTGCCCCTATGATCCATTTCTTGGTTTTGCTATTATCCTGATGGACATCTTCAGAATTAGCAGAAATAAGTATAAGTAACGGACCATGATAACCTTCAACATTTGACCAGAATCTGTTTAAGCCCTTCCCATGAGCAGATGACCTAAAAAGTTGCAAAAAATCACACAAACATATGAAAACACAGGCCACAAAAACACACACAGAAAAGACGCAGTCTATCTTGAAAAGATTACTAAGAGCATTGATATTTTAAGCAGTACAACCTTCAAGAAGATAAATCACAATATCATTAAAGGGGGAATGACAAACCGATAAAGAAGTTTTTCATCTGTTCCAATAAGATCACCAGCTAAGCATGCCTTCAAAATTTCTTCACTAATGTTGTTTGTAGATCCAAGGAAAATCGCCCATGCCCTTCCATGTGTTAAAAGTAAAGCTTGAGATGCTGTCGATGAAATATCTCCTGAAATGGATTGTGAAGATCCTGACTCATCCTGCAATCCATCAAGAAAAGTATCTAACCAGTGAATTTTTACAATCAGATCAACTGATTTTCGCATAATAAAAACACATCAAAATGAAAAAGAAAATATATACTAGATGTCAGGTAAACACATATGCAAGCAGACACCAGCCAACAGAATAAGGGAAATTGGGGATAGACAAATATAAAAAGCCAATAATTTTGTTCAAGTCTTACAAAAAATTGAAATACACCTCTGCAGTAACTGAGCTTTGAAGTCTTCCATGAACAAACTGAGTCAAGCAATCTGAAAGGGTCGGTGCCGTCGTTAAAGCCCAAGCAAGAAACTTTCCAACAGGAAGCTGAACATGCAAGCCTAATATATCACAATCCCATAGATCCAAGCTACTATTAACTTCAGCACACGAAACAACCGCAGACAACACCAAATGATTGATATCAGGCAGGAAAAGTTTTCCTTTCCTTTCAGAAAATTTCCAAGTCCTGACATTCCACAACATAGACCAACACATCCAAAGAAGCAGAAGCACATCAGAGGGTAGTAAAGACCCATTTATCTTACAATCAGCATCATTCGATTCGAACTCCAATTTCGAAGAAAGGCCTAATTTTTCCAATGCCATAGCAAATATTCTCAACAATATATTGAGTGACATTGATGTAGACATCCTCCCACAGGACTTAACATAACCTCTAAGAAATCCCAACCAGTTTATGCCTCCTTTTTCAGACATGAAAAATAAATCTACTATTGTTGTTCCTAAGTGATCCAACAACCTTGGAAAAGACTCTGGCTTTTGTGGTGATTCGTAAACTGGGTCCTCGTAACTTAAATAAAAACATTGCTGGAATCATGTAAGAAGGAAATTAAAAAAAAAGGGAAATTATAAACTAAGTGATTGAATGAAATTAATAGCAACAGTTTGAGTAAGTCGAATTACCTGAAGGGATTGGATGGAAATTGTGTTTGTTTGAGGATCGGAGAGCTTTGAGAAGGATTTGCGAAGCAAAGGAAGAGTTCCTGTGGAAGCTGCGAGGCTTTCTAACTCTCGTTGTTCAGGCGACACCGTCTGTTCCGTCGAAGATGATGCTCCCATTGTTGCAAAAACGAAAAAAGAAAAATCTGCAATTCAAGTTTCAGATTTTTTTTTCAAGAACCATTATTACCTTCAAATAACTGAAAAAGAATCACCTAAAACGCATCGTATACTGGAGTGGTGATTTTAAACGAAACGTTTCACTGTTCCTTCACATATCTTTGCTTGGAGCTGACAAAACGATGTCGTTTTTTTTTCTGTTTTCGTACAGCTAAAACGCTTATGTATTTTACATAAAATTTATGTATTATAATATAAAAATATAAAATATAATTTTTTAACTTTATTAAATTTATAAATAATTTTTAAAAATTTAAAATTATATTATTTTTATATTCGTATTATATTTTAAATTAATAAGTTATATACGAATTTACCGAAAGATTCGAGTACATGGCAAAAACTTGGTGAGAAGCTTTTACTCACCATTTGTCTGGTTCAATGAAAAAAAAGATATCTACCCATGAACGGCTTCAGCTTATTGGCGATTGGGTCCTCAACTTGATAATCACAAAACAATTTTTCTTCTTTACCCAAATCTCGCAGCTCGCCATATCACTCATCCTCGTTCTGATAACACTGAAAACGATAAACTTGCACGAGCAGCTGTTAACAAAGGATTGCATCGATTCATCACAAAGAAAACTACTATCCATGATGAACAAGTGATGAGTAATAAACCTTGCGAGGTACAACTTTCTACTGATATTTACAATATTATTATGTTGAAAAATGTATGTAAATTTAATGATGGATATTTAACTTTCTTATCAATTAAACTGACATTCGGTATCTTAAAAAGAATTCAATTTACATAAATTATAATATAAAGATTAAATCTTAAAGTTTGTCTAAACATAACAAATACGAAGATTAATTGCATAATTTGACGAATTATTTATATTTCTAACATTGTGGCAGGTGTTTCAAAAATATTCCTAGAAATGCTAGGAGAACACCCTGCATCAAAGCTGCAAGATATTTGTCAAAAGAACAAGTTGGATTTACATATGGTGAAAGAGTCATGGAAGACTACTTACCATCTTAAAAGGGATATAGCAGTTAACAAAGCAGCTATGGAACCTGTGATGATGGACTTGGGAATTGATTATAAGAATGCAAGAGATCAGAAAGATGAAGGTGAGAGTGATGATATTCCTAATTAAATAGTTCTTAGTTCATCTTTGAAACACCGTCGTATTTGCCCCTAATAATCTGTGCCTGTGTAAGTAGTTGTGAGCTTTGACGTTACGTTGATGAGTGGGGTAGACATAAACAGAAATCATCTTTAACCAACTGATCATGGCGTTCCTTACCATGGATACTCATCGCCCATTTGAGTTTGGTGTTGCTTCAATGGCGGGCCTCCTCTACCTCGATGCTGCCACGTGTACGGAAAAAGTTTCACTTAAAACAACATCTTAACGAATTCGGAGCCGTTGATTTAGCTTACTTTAAATATTCGGAGCCGTGACAAGTCAAAAAGCCTCTCTGCTCTTTAGGATAACCCCAGCCGACAGCCTTGCTCTCCTCAGAGTTACACTGTCTTAAATTAAATTCTGGATTTATTAGTAAATTAATCACTCGCATCTTTCTTCACTGAACAAACAATAAAAAATAATTAAAAATTCTCTACTTGCTCCACTTCACAAATCTAACTCTCATGAATAGCCAACAACCCAATTTTGATTTTCTCTCTTGCTTGACTCTCTAGCAGAGAAGCAAGAGAAAGAAAAACAAGCAAAGATGGGTTCGGTTTCATTGAAAATAGGGGATGGAACGGCAAGATTCAAGAGAGCAACACTTTGTTCTTCAGCTGTTAACATTCTCATGCTTTTTTCTGTTATTACCACCAATCTTTTTGCTTTATATGCCTTCACGTATTCACCTAAACAACACATAAACAACCCACTTCACCATCCTCACAATAACATCTCTTTAATCTCTCAACAAGTCTCTTTGATTATAAAAGAGATCGATTCTTCTCAAAGAAAGCTTGCCCAGATGGAAAAACAGATACTTGGTTATGACACTTTTGATCTTTCAAGACCCAATCTTGCAACTGAACTTAAGTTGTTTTTGCAACATCATCAGCTTCCTTTGGGAAAAGATTCAAGAACTGGGATCACTGAGATGGTTGCTTCTGTGGGGCATTTTTGTGAGAAATCTGCTGATTTGTTGTCCCAGTACATGAGTTACAAGGTTTCTGGACCTTGTCCTGATGACTGGAGTCTTGCTCAGAAGCTAATTTTGAAGGGATGTGAGCCTTTGCCAAGAAGGAGGTGCTTGGCCAAGACTGTTCCTAAGGTAGGTCTTAGTTCTTTTCCTGTTTCTCTTTGGAAACCTATTAGTGAAAAGATTGTTACTTGGAGTGGTCTTGGTTGCAAGAATTTTAGCTGCTTGAACAATAAAAAATTGAGTAGAGATTGTGTTGGTTGCTTTGATTTGGTTAATGGATATGAGACTCAAAAATATGTGAAGGGTAGAAGCAAGAATGATTTTCTTATTGATGATGTGTTAGCTATGGGGAGTAGTGGGATTAGAATTGGATTTGATATTGGAGGTGGATCTGGGACTTTTGCTGCTAGAATGGCTGAGAGGAATGTGACTGTGATTACTAACACCTTGAATGTTGATGCACCATATAGTGAATTCATTGCTGCAAGAGGCCTTTTCCCTTTGTTTTTGAGTTTGGAACATAGGTTTCCATTCTATGATAATGTGTTTGATTTGGTTCATGCCACAAGTGGATTAGACGTTGGAGGTAAACCAGAAAAATTGGAGTTCTTGATGTTTGATTTAGATCGCATTTTGAGGGCGGGTGGCTTGTTTTGGTTAGATAATTTTTATTGTGCTGATGATGAAAAGAAGAGGGCTTTAACTCGTTTGATAGAAAGGTTTGGGTATAAGAAGCTGAAATGGGTTATAGGAGAGAAGACAGATGCAGCTGGGTCAGGAAAACCCGAAGTTTATCTATCCGCTGTTTTACAGAAGCCGGTGAGAATCTGATGGTTAATAGTTCCTGGAAAGTGATGGAGGTCAGAAAATCGTTTGAATTTCTAGCTTTATGGACACAAATTTTGTTCAAATTTATTGCCTTCAATATCCTCATGAATTTATTCCAAGATGGAATAAATTGTTTCCTTTCTTAACTAGCAGCGGTGAAGGATGGCCTCGGTTCTTTAATCTAAAAATCCCTTTTTTTTTTGCCCCCCCCCCCCCCCTTAAATGTCTTCTTTCGTATTTTAGTCGTCGTTGATTACTCAAACAAAGAAGTATTACGAAATGATAATTTCTTAGCGTATTCTCGAAATTGTTTAAATACTTTATATTTGATGTTTTTCTGTAATTGGATGTGCCTTTTACCGTCATGATCCCAACTGTATTCTTGGATCTCAAACATCTTCCTGTAGATGTGTTTGAAGCCATGTACAGCCACCTTGGATCTCATACGTCATGTTCTTGTATACTGATCTTAGGGTGTAATGGATATAGTGGAAATATATTATCTCATCATCACTCAACAGCATAATTTAAGTTCTGATTTCTGATAATACCATTTGCTAAAAGTTCATTTCCTGCTGAAAAATGTATTTTAAATTCGTACACCACATTTCCACCTCTACCAAGTGAAAGCTAAAAGAAAAGCATCTGCTCTCCTGCCATTTTTCATCTCCAAATAAACAATGGACCGTTCTTGGATAAATTTCAAAGAGCAATGGAAATTCAGCTTGGTGGAAACTTAAGCATTGCAACCTGAATCGAAGCCATTAATGCCTTGCATTGTGGCACTGTTAAGAAGCTTCATCCCTTCTTCACTCATCTGTTGAACTTCTGTAGGGGATAGAATTCTGATGCAACGGACACACCCAACAAATTCGCTGCACAGACATCAAATCATAGCCATTAACAAATAACCTCCAAGAATTAACAAATGAAATGAATATAAAATGTACTTACTCCCAAGGATCATCCCCAACGAGTAGAACATCATTCTCATAATCCACATACACCAATTTCCACCCTGAACCTCTAGGATCGTCAAGTAGCCCCTTAAGTCCAAACATGGATTCAATTGCTGAGATTAGTTCACCATAGTTCTTAAAACTCGTGACATCAATCGACCTTCCAACAGATCCTGCCTTCTGAACCTGTCAGCCAGCACCAATAAGAGTTAGAAAAACGTGAGTTAAAACAAAAGTAACACCATTATGTAAAGAAATTTCAATGTCCCATGAGACACGAAACCGAATGATGCAATCTGCACATTAACTCCCATTGATGCCTCGAGAATTTTCATATTTGAGAAGTAAATTGGTATCATACCTTTGTATATGTTCTCACACGTGGAGCCATTTGATGCCATGAATTATTCTGCAGAAGGCCACTCTCATCAAAATCAATATTACTAGAGGAAGTACCACCCGAGCTGTCTGGTAAGTCTTGTCGAGAGAAGGCCTGAGAGTCTGCGAGGCTAGCAGAGGTAATCTGAGACTGGACATCCTGACTAGAACTAAAGTTTCCAACCAAACAATCTGAAGGATTTTGAAAATCAGCATCCTTCAATGAGCATAACTCATCAAGAATGACACTGGAAACAGAAGGATCAATCACAGTACTGCCACCATTACTAACATCAATGTTAAGACAGCTGTATATCCCACTCTGATTATTGCTGTCATCAGACAAATCTCTCAGCCCACCCGAATTAAGACTGCATGGATCTTGCTGAGTGAATGAAGTTAATTGGTCAGCCTGGTATAAAACCCTACAATTATTCAGCTGATGATCCCATGTATCTTGACCCCCTGTAGTTAAGGAAGAATTAGTTGCTTCAGGAAGGACAGCTGAAGAGTCTTGTAACCCAACTGCTAGTGTAGGACCAGGTGACTTATAAATCCCTGCAAGTGGTTGGCAAGAAGAAAGGTGTGGCGTCCATTCATTGGCGTCTATAAAAGGAAGAAAGCTGCTTAAATTACTAATATCAGCTTGAGATAACTGTATTTGATGAGCTTGGAGGACTGACGATTCCAATTGTGACTGAATGGGCCATGGGTTATTTTGCAATTGGAATGGCATCTGGCTCTGGTTAGAGAAAGAAAGTTGGTTCAAAATACTTGATGGACTTACAGCATTTGCCTCCAGTTTTTCCTCATTGCATTCTGATATTGAAGTCATCTGACTTAACTGATCAGTTGAATGCTCTGAATCCAGCTTTAATTTTTCATCATTGCTCCTAGCTTGTGTTTGGCTTTCAAGTTTGTTAGCAGGATGTAGGTTCCCATTAGCATTTATTTTCGGCAAATTTGAGTTGATGGGATCAGGTTGGTCAGGGACTAATTGGGAAAGATTTTGGCTTTCTATCAACAGATTCTCTGATTGGATAGGCTGAGGTTTCTGATTGCTTGTAGACTGCATATTCTTCATCTCTTCCAATGGAGACCCTTTTGCAGCAGAGATTTGTTGTAAAGTAGATGCAAAAATTCCTGGATGGCTAACAAGCTGAGGCTTCAGCATCATTTTCATCAGTTGTTCAGAACATAAATTTGAGATCGAATAAGGAAGACTCCCATTTCCATTTTCAGGAAACTGGAGGAGAGGCCTTTTTATCAAGCTTCCCCATTCAGATTCTGCTCCTGTCACCATAAAAAATAGCCACTAGATAAGTACCTAAAAATGTTGCATACCACTCAATATAACAAACAGAAGCTTACCCAAAATTCCAGTATGAAATGGCCGTTTGAGACCTGAAGTTAAAGAGGGAAAAATAAAGAGGCTTTCAGGAGTTTCAATTTCCCATGCGCTGACCCTATTCTGTTTATCGTTACATCCAGGTTCATCCCACTCAACCTGTTTAGAGAATGGATACAAGAAGTTCCATTATAAACAGGCCAGGAGATAAAGCACTATTGTTTAATAGGAAGAAGCAAACCGGTATCCTGTTACAACAAACAGTTTTCAGTTAAAGAAAGAAAACCTGAAGGTTTCGCCACTTCGAGCCAGGCCATCTCAGAGGATCCAAGTCACTAATACCAACTATTGTACCCATATATCTGCAAAAAAATTTGAGAAACGTTAACAGACATCTAGATAGTCAGATACGTAGAATATTTATCATAGACTTCAAACATACATTAGAACAAAAAATATTGTTATTTTTCCCATGTAGAGCAATCTAACAACAATTATATCATTATACATTGTCAAGAAACAATATGAAACAAGCCTAGAGTATTTCACTTTGTGCAACAGTGTAGCAAAGCTCTAACAATCCAAGCACATCTATCATGAGGATTGTCTTTGACCCCATAATGATTCAAAATTTCTTTAACGTCTTAAGGTTGGAAACATATGATGAGAGGATGAAACTGTCTAGAACCATACCTACGTTTTCCTGACTCTTCTGTTTCAAACATCATTCCAAACCTCATACCAACAGAGACTTGAGACCCATATACAGATTTGCGGTATCTAGGCAAAGGGATGACAAATTCAGAAGGGCAGGCTCTACAAAAAGACAGAAGAGAAAGGTGTGTCAGAAATAGATAAAGGAACCTTAAGAGCAGAAAAGGTGGGAAGAGGATACAAATGCTATTAAACACACCTTGGATTGTAGAAAATTGTGAATGGGCTTCTATTAGCAGCAGCATGAGCAGCAGCAGCAAGGACACCAATGTGCATACTATCAGCAGAAAGAACTGATGATGGTAGTGTTGTTTGTTGACGATTTGCACGCCTCACACCCACCAATAACTGTGATTTCTCATCCCTTGCAACAATAAGACATAATATAAGATGCAATCATTAATTTAGCATTTAAAATACTTTCACCGAAAAAATGCAAGTATATAGCTCTAAAATGTTGCAGGGAATGACTACAGCATACCTGATAAAGAGAACGGAATCACCTGCCCTAAGCCTTTTTGATCCAACAAACAAACTCCACCCAGTTGTAAGAAGGTGTCGCTTTGGCTGCCCTGCACAAAACAACACATAGAATACTCAAGATCAAGTTCATATTGTCAATATATTTTTATGTATATGCACACACACATATAAATATGAATATACACAGACAGACATAACAATTGTGCCATACTATGAGAACTAGCAACAAAAAACATGTGTTGCAAAATTTCTTTTCAAACAATTCTAATCATATTACTTGCTGAAACAGAAGGTACTCACCCCGGTATATATGGCGAAATGTCCAGGTATTATCATGCAAGTCGCGCACAACAAGCTCTTGAGTTGGGGGCTGCATTGTGTAATCCTGAAAATAGATAAAAACAGTAATGTGATTCCACATAATGTCCTGGCATGTGCAAGCATGCTTGCAAGGCTTTGATCAACCCATTAAAACCTCACCAATGGAGGAAAGAGCTTCTCTGCTGCTCTGCGTGGCACTGAAAAACCACCATGTGTACTTGTATCACTTGCAGTCAAAGTTTTACAAAAAAATTCATTTGGATGCTTGCTGGGCTTCAATCCAAAGTCTGGTATAGGGAAGACATCTTTTTCCTAATCGAAAGAAAATTTATCAATGAGAACAGTGTCAAATATTCAGGTCTAGATGCTTTATCTTGATGGAAGAAAGGGGTTTTTCTTTTTTTTCACATTTAAATATCTAGGAACTTGGTAAGAGTTTCAAGTATACTTCACACTAGAGAAGCTTACAGTGTTCACCGGTTGAAGACTCATTTGAGCATATATTTCATCTGTATCTTTGTCTGCCTGTCAAGGATTACAAAGAAGTAACGGCAGTAGTTATTTAGAAAAGATACACAGTAACGGGTAGCATATTTAAGCCTAAATGGCATACACGTCTCTTTGTTATGAAAAAAGGTAAATAAAAAACATACATGTAGCGTAACATTGTGAACTTGGCACATCAACTGAGATGGAAGATTTGGATAGCTGGGAATTTGAGAGGTCGCCATTCTTTTCGTGGACACTGCTACCTGCTCAAAAGAATAAAGCCATTATTGGTCCTGTGATTCTTGATTAAATAAACGACAAAATTCACTGAAAGGCTGTCATACATCTTTGGGATTTTAGCGCAGTTTTTTCAAATATTATCAAACAACCTCTCAAATGGTCGTATCCCACCATGGATTGGCATCTCTAGTTTTTATTCTTGGGATACAGCATTAGTGCGAGATCTTGGCAAACAAGTACTTCCAAGTTACATCTCAAATAAACTAAGCAATGGCAGAAACCTAATGCATCAATTTTACAATCCAAATGATGGAACCAGTAATGTGAATATTCATCCACTGGCAAATGTGATTCATTGTTCTCAACTCCCATCAAAATGAAAGGAGCCCAAACTGCGATTGAAGTGGAAAACTGTGAAGCATAAGAGAACAGCCATGATACTGGAAACATGGCATTTCCATACACAAGGCTCAAGCAATATTTACACATCAAACTACGCATATTGGTCTCAAAGCAGGTTACCAGATTTTATCGATTTAGCAGCCACAGGTATACTAAGGTTTCATTAAGTTAACGCTAAGTCAACTACACAAATATCAGAGACTTCCTTCCCCGGGTTGAATTTTTTTTTTTCTGTTTCCACTAGACTACTACTTTCATGTAACAAAATTCCAAGGAAAAAAAGAAGACAATGGGAAGCAAAGTTCGAGGAAAAAGAGCAGGTTTTTTGCTGCAGGAAAGCAAATATCAAGTGAGAAATAAATCCAAACCTGTTCGCTATGTCCTTGAGGGAAGTAATATACAAGGCTCCCCACCTGAGGCAAGAAAACAAGTGGACCTGCGCAGGCATGCCATAACTCGGAATTTATAGCCTTCCGGGTCCCTGAAATCGATCAGGAAAAGACAGTGTAAGACACATGCTTCAACAGAGATTACACATTATACTGTTGAGACTTAAATAGGTCTCCATTAAGACCAAGTACCGACTAACATCTTTAATTTTAAGCTTCTATGTTGAAGAGAGAAACGTCAATGGTTCATTCAACTTATTAGCAACACGAACCTTTACAAACCGAATAAAAAGAAGTGCTTTTAACCGAGAAAACAGATCGTGCTTCAACCTAAGAAACTCTTAAAAAGCCACTAGGAATACCAAAACATAATGTGGAGAAAGAAACTAAGTTAACTGTCTCATTTTAACACATGAGCAAAGGACAATTTTTCAAAAACAAACAAAGAAAATAAAGTTTTAAATGAAGAAAAAACGAACCAGACTGATCTTGCATTTCTTTCAACAACTTCATTTCCTCAAGCAGAGTGGCCTGTGCCCCTCCATTAACCAAAGCTCCTGTTTTAATCTTCTCTTCAACAACAGAACCCATTATGCGATCTTTTCTTATTAAAAGAATTCTTCCTTTTTACGCTCTTTTACAATACAAGCAACCAGAAGAACACAAAGCAAAGTCCCCACCTTTACATCGTCAATAGAAAAACCCAAAACCCATCAACTTCCAAAAAGAGAAGAAACAAATTTCCATTCCTATTGCTCCACTGAGCTTTCGTCCCCACTAAGTAGAATCACGTATAGTATCTTCTAGAGATGGAGCAATTATCAAAGAAAAAAAGGGGTCTCACAAAACACAAATGACAAAACAAACCAATCCCAATTGGTCAGAAAGGAGGACCTTTTACACCCTCTCCCCTCGCACCTCACCCCAACCCCACCCCCAAACAGCAGCAGCACAGTCCAAAATCAAGGAACAAAAACCTGCAAAGAAAAGGGGACAACACTGGAAAGAAAGATCTTTTCTTATGTGGGGCTTTTTTTATATAACCGAAAAAAACACCTCCCCTTCAGTTAGCAGCATCAAAGCACGCCGACCAAAGCATTTGAGTAGCTTCTCTCTCTCTCCCTCAAAAGATATAGACCTTTCAATGAAACCCCACTATCCTCATCATCACTTTGATTCCATCCCTCCGCTCGATCATCAAAAATAAACAAAACCCCAAAAACGTGAAAAAAAAAACTTATAAAAATTCAATCCATTTCTCTCTTTATGTTACACAAAAATGACTATGTAAGTTGCTTGATACTGGGAAGAGCGTGCCTGCTCTTATCCTACGCACACACTTTCTCTATTAGGTGATTCCATTGCAGCTTTAAACTTCGAACCCATATATTTATATAATATAATTAATAAATATAAGTGTTAAAGAAAATTAATAAGGAAATGTCGAAAAAGCAGAGCAAGGCTAACAGAACACGAAAACAGTATCCAGTGTAGAGAGAGACAGAGAGCTAAGCGAAGCGGAGGGGTGCGTAGGATAATGAACAATACCTTCGTGGTATACTTTAGTAAGTGGACAACGAGGATTCACTTGTCTGTCCCTCTCCTATTTTCGCCGTGTGAAAGTTATTTTTTATATTTTAATTTTAATATAAATAGAAAAACGAAAAAGCAAAGCTTTGTTTTGGTAGTACTTTTTTGCGTATGATATTTGACCGACCGTCACGCGTGCGGGTCACGACAAAAGCAATTGGGAAGTGGGGTAATTACAATTGACACGTGTCGCCTTTGAATTTTGACTCCCTTGTTACGGTACCGTTTCTTCTTTGCACATCTCGTACGATTAATACTATTTAGTTTAGCAACTTGCCATGGTTGGTATCTTATTTTTATTTATCAACCAAATTTAATGTTAAATGTAGCAAGTAACCTTAACCTTGACCCAAATTGGTGATTTAATAATCTTTTGCCCAACCTTAAGGATTTCACTATGAATTAATAAGCAAATATAATTGTTTCTCATAAAAATATTCTTTTCAATTGATAAAATCTTAACGATAAATTTTCAAAATTTTAAAACAAATAATATTATATAATGAACATAATTCAACGATTCTCGTATTAACAATATTAAATAGTTTATGTCAGCGAGCTATACTTTAATCTTTAATTGGGGATTTAATAAATTTTTGTCCAAATTTAGACAACTATATTTAAGATGAACATAAATGTGGACTGCCAATAATTCCTTTGCTTCCTTATTTAAATGTATCACATTAATGTGCCTCCAATCTATCTGCCATAATAGTATTTTTTTTTTTTTGTTCTTCCTATGCTTTCAATGCAAAATTTACTCTTCATTATTGATCTTGCTTTTAATAAATATGTACACAATTTTTGTACATTCAATAAATAGATTTAATACTTTATATTTATTTCTTTTACTTGTATTGTTTGTTGTGGAGAGTTAAAATTATTAACACAAACTAGACTACGATTATTTCGTCCCTTTTGTAATTTATACAAATAAAATACTTATAATTAAGATAAGATAAATGTAATTTAAATTTAAATATAAACAAAAATAAGTTTAAAATTGTAAGCTTTGTAATGTTTAAAAATGAACAAATGAATATTTTTAATCAATGTTTGTAGAGATTTGTTAATTGAATTCAAACTATATATATTATTATTAGTTGAAGATTTTTGGTTTTTTTAATAGGGGAAGAAGAGAGAGAGAGAGAGAGTACTTCACCAAAAAGGAGAGAAACAGTGGTTTTTTTTTTTTTCCACAAGAGATGAGACATGCCATGTACATGATAATTAAGAAAAAAGAAAAGGTCATGAGTGATGGTGTACCTACAATTGTTGCATGGTTGAATACGCATGGGGCAAAAGGCGTCACGCACGCATCCCTATTTATTATCAACATGGACATGGAGTTTATATTTTGGTTAATTTAGAGTATAAATAAATGAGGATATAATTTTAACTACCATGCACTGCAACATTATTCAAAGTCTTGCCCCCCAAAGGAGAATAAATAGGGGACAACTTTTTCCACGGTGGGTCATCATTTGTTTTGTATGTAGATATAATAATTTATATATTTATATTATAAAAAATATTAAAATTTATACAAAAATTATATATTATAATTTATACTAATATAAACATATAAAATAAGTTTTTTTATTTTATTAAATTTATATATAATTATTATCAAAATTTTAAGTTATATAATTTTTATTATATTTATATCGTATTTTAAATTATTACATCTATTTGCATAAATACTTTTTTAAAAGCTAAATAATATTGAAAGATCACATGGATTGCAAAACAATAATTTTGTTGCATTAAAACCAAAAAAGAAATAATGATAGATAAAATGCAGCATTAAGCTCAATGTCCTTGGAATTTTGATAGTCTTATACTTTTCGAAATGTTATAAGCTTTTTTACCAAAAAATGTTGACATACATAATTTCATGGACGATTTTTAATGAACCTAATGAAGATAAAAGGAGAATGCATGGTATTACTTTTTATAAAATTATTAACTAGTATATTAAAACATTTCATTAACAAATAACAATATATATATTACAACTGAATTGAGATACTATTTTTAGCATTTTAGGTAAAGTTATCGATTCATTGAGTGATTATTTTTTAAAAATATTTGTTGAAGACCCAATTCATCTTTCATCGTGTATAATAAATTAAAATATAAATAATAATTTTATTTAAAATTAATTAATTTCTTATTTATTATATCCATCCATATTATTAACGCGAGATACCATAGTGTTACTCTGGCCTTGCAAAATCAATTAAGATAAATAATGTATATATATATATATATTTTTTTTTTTTGTTTCATTGAACATTCCCAGACAGCACGTGATGATGATCATATGATCCATGTGGAAAGCACATGCATCTATGTGGATGAGAAATATGATCAAACGGAGCATATTTGACGCTGAAATCGGTGGCACCGCACGCGTACTACGACTTGGAAGACCTAGACTCTCTGTTCAATGGCCCTTGGAACTTAAACTCGCCGCATTCTTAGCTTATCCCCCACTTTAATTCTTTACTTAACCCCTTCGTTGACATAAATGATGGCCATCACTAATCAATTTTTTTAAGCATCCCAATCACCGTTCATTCTCTGAATTACACGTGTCAAAATGCAGCCAATCACACAATTGGTTAAAGCATACGTCATAGACGTTCGATGCCTTAAGTTGACCCCTGCGATTTAAGCCACCAAACCAAAATCTTCCCTGATCATGAGCAATTATTCTGGACCCACCCACTTACTTTAAGCAAGGTAAAGCATAGCTATGTTTGTGAGAGTCAAGATAAGCCTCATCAAATACCCAAATGCAAAATTTTGCTTTTGCTAACCTTATAAAGTGTAATCCGATGGGACCCTTTCCAATTAAGGGAGAGTGGGATCCACTCTTTATCATTTTTTTTCTTTAAATCAAATCAATGTAGCGTGGTCCATTGACCGGTGATAGATAGAGACAGCCATTGACAGGTTAATTTTGCAGTAAAAGGTGCACAAAGTGAAGTGGCATAGGAAAAAGGAAATCGGAGGACCTTGATCCACGATTTCTCTCAAGCTAAATTATGCTGTGCTTTAGTTTTCTAGGCTCCAGCTCATTGTCGAGTTGGCCAATGCGTAATTATGTTAATTTGTGCAATGTAAAATACCAAAGAACAAAAATGCAATCATCACGAAAGAATATACCCATTATTTAATTTGGAAAACTAAATAGAATTTCTTATGATTTTCCTGCATTTAACTACATTTTACATTGTGTGAGAATTTTTTTGGTATCGAGTGTTATGGTGATCAAGTTGATAAAACGATGATAACCAACGAAAGAGAAGGTTTCCTTTGAGGAAGGAAGGGGTCAGGTGTATGGACTTTAGATAGCAAACGAATGATTGAGATTATTATGGGGATTACAGCTTTTATAAGGGTAAAAACAAAAACATTAATCAAAGATTATTACAGAACAAAAAGCGTGGAATTTTTTTATACATGGGCTTGGATTTGAACAATGAGAGTACATACAAAACATTAAAATAGCAGCTAGAACTATTGATATTCATAAATTGGTGATGATGAGAGTGACGGGGCCAAGGCGTGATAATTGAGAGTGAAATAACCTAGAAAACGAGCGTGGTATGAAGGGAACATAGGAGCAGTGTAAGATGTAGGGATGCAAGGGGACATCAGCTTCTGAAAACATCTGATGAGAGAGAGAGATTAAGAGAGACAGAAGCCCCCTTTTGTCTCTAAAGTTTCCCGCTCGCCCCCTCCCCTTTTGTTTTATTATTCACTAAATTATCACTTTAGCTGGTCCTGGCTCCTGGCATGGCATCTTCTCCTTTGGTTTGCTTCGATGTTTGTGGAGGTGGGCCGAGACTAGAGGCTTGCTTCTTGGGCTAACTTTTCTTTTTTGAAAGGAAAGTTTGATACAAAAGCACATTTCCTTTACTGACAGTTTTTTTCTTTTTGGAAAGTTTGCTTCATTTTTTAAATTAGAACAAATTATTAACTCATAAAAAAATTTATAAATTTAAAAAACAAAATTTGCATTTATAAATCATTTACTAGAAAAAGATATTTCATTCGAAATTACTCTAAAATTTAACCACCTGTGACAGCTCCTGATGGCCTTTATTGACAGTCTTTTTATTCCCTCCACTCTTGGATTGGGTGGTACATCCACTGCCACTCTCTACGGCTGCAATTGGAAATTGATTCAATGCAAAATACAAGTCAAAATCTTCAGGTCAGTATTCATGTGTTCCCTCCCACGCTCTCGTTCTAAAACAACTCATCTGTTTATCACATGGGTATGTTCACCTTGAGGTGACTTCAGGACTCATAATTTGATTATTGTAAAATTGAAGTTTTTATGTTTATTTTTAAATATTGAATTTTTAATTTATTTCATTACAAAAAAATAATAATTAAAAGAAAGTATAATTGCTACTTGGCACAGCTATGTTAGCTTTATTTTTTGACAAATTTTCATTTTAATACACTGATGAAACTAAATTGGCACAGCTATGTTAGCTTTATTTGGATGTCATGGAACTAAATTGGCTGCTGATGGTAAATCGTTATTTAAAAGCTAAATTGCCTAATCGTAGCAACGTTTCATAACGTTACAATGGATTGATATAAAGTATAGATATATACTAGTAGTATTTTGGACGATGATCCAATTTGCTAATTACTTAAGTTGCCAAAAACAAATACACTTTTCTTTTTTTGATTAATCTAAGTTATTAGGGTTTTTTTTTTAATTTTTTATAAAAATAATATTTAATAAAATTAAAATTTTAATTTTAATACATGTAATTTCTTATTCTATCGTCAAGCTATGAGTTCTTTTATAATAAAAAATTAATATGATTGTCTTTGAATTTAACTAGTAAGGTCATAATGAAAATATTGGTTGAAAATTATATCGTGCTAAATTTTTCCTAAAAATACTATGTTTTTATGTTGTTGAATAAAAAAATAAATTATTATAATAAAAAAATATATCTTAAATTTGTCCTCAAACCTTTAGTTTAGTGATTAAAAATGCTTAAGGGGACATCAAAGATTTCATCTTGTAGTTAAATATCTTTTACTCGAATCAGGCCTTCCTCATTTTTCTTATTTGTATTAAAATTTTGTCATTTTAATGTAACAAAAAACATATATATATATATATATTATACTCGCAAAGTATTAAAAATTAAGGTTTTATCTTTTTTATTTTTTTAATTTTTTTTGTTTATGAAAAAATGAAAAAAATGTGCGTGATTTTGATTGTCTAGTAATATTTTAGTCTGTTAATTAATTATTTAATAATTATATTTGATTATAATGTAATAGTTGATTATTTAATTGATTTTATGAATGTAACTTAAAAAATAAAAGAAATCAACTAAACGTAATTTATCTAGATTAATAATTAAATTACAAGTCATTTTAAGTGTTAACACATGCATTAAGGCTCAAGCAAGTAATACTAAAAGCCCAATTGCTTTTACTTTTTCCAGTGAGATTTGAATTCAAGGTAATATGTATTTTAAGCCCAACATTATGATTTAATGGACTTAAATTCACAGGCCCATGTTCCATGTTCTTTAAGGTGAAGCAGTAAAACCAAGGGTCAACCTATGATTTTTATGTTTTTGGTTAGGGTTTTAGGGTTTTTCTGCCACCTTGAAGAAAACCCTAGATTTGTTATCCTAAGTTCCTCAAGTTTCAGTTAGGGGTATCAATTGCAGTTACAAATGGAGGGATTAAGCGTAGCAGATGCTGATTTGGTGGTTTACTTACACCCATCGAAGAGCAGTAAGGTTTCACAGGCGATCCTCCGTGAGCTTAGCTCTTCACTCTTCAAGTTCGTTCTTTCACCTTCTATTTTATTGATTTTAATTTTCTCTCATTCGCCAAAAACTGCTGGTTGTGTTTATATATTGCTTGTGTTGTGATTTAACTTTAGTTTCGTTAATCTTTACTCTGTTTTTTTAATAAAACAAGTTTTATGTTTTAGCTGAAAATTTAACTTGTTATGATGAAGTTAGCTAGAAGTTACAATTACTGCTTTTGGGGTTTCTTTTCATTGGTTGCAGTTTGAAAAAGCAGTTTATTGTTTGAATAATACTCTGTCTTTTCAAACAAATGGAGATATATGATAATTGAGAGCTATTATTGTTGAAAATATAATGTCTACAAAATTACTGAAGACGCACTACATTTATCATGTTGACAATAGTTAAATGATGTGTAAATATTTGCTTCCTTGTATCATGCTATAATGTATTTCTGGTCTTCCTTGCAGGTTCAACGAAGCGTTTGGTGGTGTTTTATTGGCCTACGATGTTAATATTCTGGATAAACAGGCAAAAATTCTTTCTGGTGTTCATCCTTATTTTGGTGTTAGACTAAAGGCAAATCTCCTACTTTTTTCACCAAAGTCAGATATGCTCTTAGGTACATTTTCCATGATATTTCAGGTTATTTATTAAGTTTTTCTTGTAAAGGATATTAGATTGCTTGTATGTATTCGTGAACATGCACACCTTGGATATTCTCTAAGCTAATTTTCTTTCCCATGTTCAGAGGGGAAAGTAGTGAAGCTTTCTCAAGAATCTATTCATGTCATTATTCTTGGTTTTTCGTCTGCAATCATAACAGCTGAAAACATCCGCAGAGAATTTAAATATAAAACTGTGAGTATCAGTTTGCTACCTTTTTCTGAAGTTCCTTTTTTGGTTATGCATGTGTATACGGCAAGAAACTATATTTATTACTCTAGTTACCTACATTAGTTGCTTATTGTGTCATAGAAAGACAACGAGGAACTATTTGCCAGCAGATCTCACAAGCGGCATGTCATAAAGGTTGGAACCATGATCCGTTTTTTAGTCAAGAGGTGACAATTTCCTTTTAAAAGAAAACTATCCATTTACTTTAAGAATGACATATGTTTTTCAATATTGTACTGTTTTGGTTACCATCAATGTTTTATTGTAAACTAGAGAGAAATGGCATTCTTTGTGTGTTTATGCAATTAATTAATCAGCTCTAATTTTTCTTCTATTTTCTAAAATTGAAATTTGAGATTTGTGGAGGAGTTGTTTGCCCTGTTCACTGATCAATTATTGTTATTATTATTATTTGTGATTAATGCCAAGTTGGAACGTTTTACATTTCTAATTAATGATAGACATACATATTTTCAGCATGCCAATTGATTTTTTCCCACCTTGCTTTTATGATTTCATTTGTCAATCATGTAGTATTAATCCAAAGTTAACAATCAAAATATTGATCCATTACAAACCAGTGGATGATATAATCTTTTGCTTCAGTCTTCTGCCTCGTTTCTGGATGCTTTTCTACTCACTAATGTTTAATTGCAGTTCATCAAGTCAAGTTGATATTTATTGGAAATTAACTTATCAAATTCTTTTAATTTTATTTTTCCCCTTGGAGAAAGGAAGGGTGTGGTGGTTAAAGACATGTTGATCACCTGATGTTTGACATTGGTTATTCTTTGCAGTTTTGATGAGGAAATACTTCATATCATTGGGTCTTTGATGCCAGCTTGCACTGGAAGCATCCGTTGGTTAGATAGAAATTCAGAGGAAATTTCAGAATTTGATAGGTCTCTAAATAAACTCAAAGTTTTTGAATGGCAACTTTCTATATGTTGCAAAGTTTGTACTTTAAATGCTGTATAATTCTATAGGAGTGCTACAAAGAGTACAGATAGAGAATGGCAGGAGGATAAAACTGTTGATGAGGGAGCAACTCCCTTAAGCTACAATAATCACATTCAAAAGTTTAAAAAACGAAGAATCAGTGAAGATTAATGAAGATTGCTGCCAATTACTAATTGTTGAAGGAGATTTCTTATTCTCAGGTAATGCATTGACCCATTGATGTGCTCCCTATGAGTGTTTTATAATGTCTATGTCATGTGGTCTTTTATGTGTCGTGAGTTGTTCTTCTCTTCATTATCTTTTACATTTATCTGTTTAGACTGATCAGCTTGAACTATTACTTGAATTGATGGGTTGCCCATAAAACATACTTACTGTAATTGACAGGGATCAGTTGCATGACTACTTTCCGGACAGAAAATTGAATGTGCTAAGGAACTTTACTGAATACCAGCATTAAAATGAGCAATGCGTTTGTCTTTCTTGCATTTTGCATTAGAACTATATGATTTTATCTATCACTGCAGCTTCTAATTCGGTAGCTTACTGCTTTAGTGTGTACATTCGATTGCTTGCAATCTACAAGTGCACTATATATCAGTGCAGTTTTCTGATGCAGTAGTTTACTATATCTATTTCTGAAACTTTGTTTTGATGGCAAGTTTATAATGTTTCTGCAAGTGCAGGTAGTGAAAAGAATTGGAGCAGAAGGTCCATATAGATGAAAGTATACCTCTTCCGGGGCTGATTATTTTGGTAATTAAATGTGCTTTTCTGTTGAAGGTCGCTGACATTCCGAGATCTTCCCTTAGTCCTTTTCCATGCTGGTTGTATGTGCTCCAAAATTGAAAATTAATGCATTGTTTTTTCCCCGATAAATGGGTAATTTTTGTTTCTTGGTGCTGTGCATGGAGGAAATTTTTTGTACTTTTTACAACTGAAGACTTGGTCTTGTCCATACATATGTTAACATTACTCTTTATCAAAAATAAATGCTTTGTCCCCTTGTTTCATTATGGCTTCATGTGTCATGTTTTGTCCAATTTTGATTTATGTCAATGTTTACTGATAATATCAGTTATTCTCATTTCCTGGATTCGATCAATCTGTTTTCTGTTACATGGAGACGGTGTGTAGGTGCTATTGGAAACGTCAACCAATTTGTAGTAATAAGCAAGACAATGTCTCATATTTAATTTATGGGAATTCAAATATGGCGTACGTTGCTTTTAGTTTGACTAAAGGGTCATGTAATAAATGATCAAATTTGATGCCATCAGGAATTCTACTGCGAGGTAATTAGAACTTCGGATTTGGGTTCATAGTATATTGAAGATTCTCATGCACTCTGCTACAATGAATCTAATTAGCCAGCAATACAAAAAAAAAAATAAAAGAAAGAAATTTCCAATTATTACTTGTTGATGAACATGATTATCAATAAATTTTCATAACTTCAAAGTTTGAAAAGATTTCATGCTATTTTCATGAACCAAAATGTAGTAGTAGCAAAATATGATTTTGGTAAGTGGGTACAAAGAACTTCCTCGCACCGGCCATGGGCCAACATCCAAAGTGACAGGAGCCCGAAAAATGTTAACTAAACCTAAACCACGCAATATTGATATACTTCAATGGGAATCCGACATTGCTTTGCTTAAAGGTCGAAACATTATACTGCTGGAGGGCGTTGATCACTCAATGTGGACATGAGGACTCCTAGGTAATTATATTGGATTGAACTACTTTAGGGAAAGGTACAGCTGAGCTTGGACACATGTCAATGGGCTACACCTCTGCAACTGATCAGATTTGTGTAAATCTAATACTTGTTGATTGGGGTATCTAACCAAATACCATATAAGAAAGAAGTGGAGGACATCTGTGTTGGTTGGTCAATCATTTTTATGGTGGATTCGGATTTGCAGGGTTGAACCAAGTACACTCCATTTTGCACCATGAAAACACTAACTTATGATTGGCACCACTGCAGCTGGATACATATTTTTGGGCGGCTTCCAGATAACAAATACTGAAATACAGACATATCCTTTATTAGCTGTTGAAATTTGAAAATATTAATATTCAATTCATGCCTCCATTTTAACCATTATCATCATCATCAGGTATGGGGTTTCTTTCAAAAAACAACCCATATACATATATATATATATATTATTCCTCCAGGGTCCCATCTTTCTAGTCCAAATAAAAAAATGATCAAAAGAGGGAGTCGGGAGTGGGGGTTTTCAGGTGGGTACAGGATTCTCACTTCCCATCAAACACCCATGTGATCTGTGATTATTATAACCAAAAAAATACAGAAAAGATTACGACAAAACTTTGCCCGTATAATCCGGGCTTGTAACATGCTTCAGGCTCTCTCTTGATCGAGATAAATGTAGCTCAATTGTGCCTTACTTTTTTCCTTGGAGATGTGACGGTTAACTCCTACATGTAATGGCACTCCAAGCATGTGTATCAGTGTCTAAATACGAGAGAGAGAGAGAGAGAGAGAGAGAGAGAGATATTTGTTATAACTTGGAATCTTTGTTTGGTTTGCCTCTCAAATTGTCTTAATGCAAACCGGACATCTTTCTCTGTCTCTATCTCTGCATGTTATGAATGGATTTGGAAGATCTTGTATCGATGCGAGAATGATACTATAAATTCATCTAAACAATTAACTGCAGCCTTTAATTTTTGCAAATTAAGTAGATGAGTTTATATTTAATGTAAAATTAGCGTCAGGTTTTATACATTATTATTCAATAAATTAAATGATGTTAGAAATGATCAAATATAAATTTTTATTAATCCTTAACATAAATACATAAAAATTTGATTTAAAAATTTTTTTTATCATCAAAAATATCATTTCGCGAGTAAAATGATATTATATGATAATTTATAAAATTTATATATCAATAATATATCAAATGGTTAGCATATTCTTTGATTTAGAGGGAATAGTCTTGAAGCAATTTTGTTTTGATCATTTTTTAAGTACCCAACAATTTTAATTACTTTTAAAACCAAATATAGTAATTCTCAAACACTTAATTAGATGGGGAAACAAACTCCGAAGATTTGGTTAACATTGTTAGGGAAGTGTGAGCAAGCTTTAATCAGTTGCAATGGTTTCAAAAACAAATGTGAGTAAAAGCATATTAGAGGAGATGAATTTAAAGATAATAAGGCAGAAAGCATTAGCTAAATCCATGCTTATCTTATTACAATCTTGATCCTGAGAAGGCATATGTCCAATCATTTGATATGCAATGATTAACAATCTGGATATTGTTTCATGAAATTTCAGTCATAAAACCCAACCAAGCAATGCTCTCCAAAAGTCACTCTAATTGCCTATTTAGATTTCATCACATTTTTTATACGGTGTAATTAAATTTATTATATTATTAGTTAAATTTAAATATTAATTTTAATAAATTTTATTTAATAAAAAATTTTTATTAAATTTTTTAATTATAATTATAATAATAATTATTATTTTTAATATCATCATCTATCTAAATAAAATTTAAGATAGATTGTTATGAAAAATTATTAACTTGTTTCCAGGTAATTTGACCCCAAATTAAACCTCAATCATCCCACCCACCACAAATTGTTCGTCGTATAAACATCATTTTGTTCCCTAATCACGTCGAAGGGTCACAAAATCTATCATTATATTGGAGTATTCGTTGTTAGTTAACTTCCGTTAGAATCGTCACCTTTTATCTTCGAAGAAAATAATTAAAAAAGAGACAGAGAATCGCTATGACAGCTAGCAATACATGCTTTAAAACTCGGAGGCCAAACTTCTTTTAGAAATTCAACTTTAGGGTCATGTTCAACAAAATTTGGACACCTTTCATATATATATATATATAATATCTAATATACTGTTTTGGTTTTGGGTTTTGCCAAAAAGTAGTAGAAATACTGATCATTGCACACAAAAGACGTCGTATGAAAGCTTGGAAGCATGGGGTTATGGCCACTGGCATCCTTGTGTCAGTACGGATTTATTGGGAGTCACCAACCACAAAATAAATAACTAAAGAAAAGAAAAAGAATTCATGCTCACAAAAAGAAAGTCATGGCTTTTGATTGGTTGTTTTTGCATCAATTGATCCACCCATGTGAATATCTTAATTCTTTAAGATTTGAAGTGCGCAATTGTCCATAATATTTTCATTCTCTCTCTCTCTCTCTCTCTCTCTCTCTCTCATGTACTGCAGTAGAATCTATGGCCCTTTCCACCGACGAGGATTAGTTTCAGAAGTTGAGATTCTACTCCATCCAATACCGTCCAATTTTTTGGGTCTGAAAAGCTGGAACAAAGGAGAAGAAAGCTTGATGGCCAATAAAGTCTTAATAAGATACAAGGTTGCGGTTTTACCTCAGCCTCTCTCCTTCTCCTTTTAATACAGACTCTATCCCTCTTGAAAAAGAAAAAAAAAAAAGGAAAATCACTGTACTTTAGATCAGAGCGCGTGTGTTGAGTGTTGATTCTTTTGGATTAAAAGTTGTATCAAATGAAGGTGAATTTTTTATTTAAAAAAATTTTAAAATAGATATTTTTTTAATTTTTTAGATTAAATTAAAATATATTATATTTGATTATTTAAAATAAATAATTATAAGTTATATATTTAAATTTATCTCAATAAATAATCACCAATAAAATTTAAACTCTAAAATTTTTTATAAAAAAAATAAATTTTAATCAATTTAACCACTAACCATTAGAATCATAACTTACTAGTGATAAAAGTAATATTTGTTAAACTGGTTAAGAGATAGGAAGTGGGTTTTTCAGCCTTTATCTGCAGCTGGTGTGGGCTTTCACTTTTAACTCATGCAATGGTAGCAGATTGTACGAGCTAGTGCAACTCCATCTGTACTGTCTTGTTCTTTCGGTCGCACCTTTCTGGCTTTACGGAATGTGTGGTGGCTTTCGTGTCATGCTACTGATGCTGCCTGTGCACGTACGGCTGATTAGACCCAATCACTGAAGCCCCTAACCATTTCCATTGATACTCTTATCTTCATTTACACAAATACTTCAAAAGCATACGTAAAATTCGCTTTAAAATATTATATATTCATGATGTATAATATTAACCAACAGTTTAAAATTTTCACAGGAATATAACAATGAACATTTAGTTAAATGATTTTGGAATCAAGAACGAGGGTTTCGCGTTTGAACTGCATTAATAATTTGAAAAATTAAAATGAATTCACAGAAATATAGAAAGCAATTTTGTTTTTATTTAATTATGTGATCAGACTTTAGAAATTAATAAATGTTTTGACCAAAATTGATGATGAGCTGGTTAATTAAAATGGTTCAACCAATATTTAATCCCAAAAACATCCTAAAGCATAACTACTGGCAGATAGTTTAGAAAATTTTTTATACATATTTTTGGAAAGAAAAATTGAAAATTATAGGATTTGTTTAAAATTTTTAAATTTAATTCAATTAATTCATATAATTATTTTTAAAATAACATTCAATAAATTTAATAATCAAATTACAATATTTTATAATTCTTTTTTTAATTCTTAAATTGTGGCTTTTTTATGTAAAAAAAATAAGGTTTAATTAAGAAATGATAAAAAATAATGAGAGATTGACCTCTTTGCAAATTGCAATGGCGGTGAATAGCTGATAGTAATGTCATTTATTTATTAAATTAAGTTTGTTGTTGAGAAGAGGTTGCCATATACGAAATTAAATTTTGTTTTTAAAAGGGTAATTTGCAAACGAGGAATTGCTGTTTTGATAGTGATAGGACGTGTGGATCAAACATGGACAAAGATATTATTATTTAAGCATGATTATTATTGGTCAAGTTATATTTCTTTTTTCAAAAATTAATGGCTGTTTAGATGCCCATGAAAAATATATATTAAAATCACTCCATTTTGTTATTTATTAAAATTGTAGACAAATGTAAACATAGTTTTTAATTATACAAATCATAGTTAAAAAAGAAGTTGCAAATAAACTTTTCAGACTCCATTGATTTCTGTTATAAGCTTGTCAAATGTTGTTCTGACACATATAAACAAATTAAGAAATTGCATAGTTGCTTCTTTAAATGGTTTACCTGTTCTTACCAAACAGCGAAAGCTCATTAGTGTTTCAATGCTTCCAAATTTAGCTGAAAGATTCTTGCCAATTTCAAGTAGATGGTTTGGTACGGAATCAATGGGTTGAATTGTTTGTTAGCTCCAACTGGTTACAGCTATGCAA